AGAGAAAGAGAGAGAGAGAGAGAGAGAGAGAGAGAGAGAGAGAGAGAGGTTATAAATCGCATCTGCCATCATGGGACGATCCGCTGTGAAGTTGCCGTCGCGCGCGCGGCTGTTGGGTCGACGTTCGTCGGGACCGACGCACGATGCGTGACGCGAGAGCACATCGAAAGATCGGAAAGCGGTGGAAAGCAGTTAGGAGCTGTTTCTGTCGTTTCTGTTTCAGTCGCCACGGCGCGCAAGAAAAGAGGTTATAAAGATTACGGCCAAGATCAGGTGCCTGCCATTTTACGGCTAGACGTTCGCTTCGTATGTTTGTCGCGGTGTGATAAATTTCTCGTTGCTGCTCATCTGCCGTGTACATGCGATACGCGTCGGGCTGCACCGCGGGTCGGGTCGACACGATCTCGGCTCGATCGATCGATGCTAGAAATGGAAATCGGCTTGCGACCTGACAGCACCCGCGCGAAAATGGAGTCGCGTCACCGAAAAACTCGACTCACGAAAAGGACAATGTCCCGTGACTCGCATCGCGATTCGTTAAATGTCGCCGAACTGTCAGCTGGTTGATAGCTGACGGAAAGATAAGAACGCACCTTCTTATCGGCACGCACATTCTCTTATCGCGCTACTTTCACAGTCGTCGCGTGCGCTCGCAGCTGAGCGTGAGTACGATGCAACTGTTTCGTGGTAGTTTAATCGGTAACGTGTGTTAGAATATGTGTCGTGCACCGTCGTGCGACGTAACAGTGCCCGAAACTGCAGTGATGCAGTCCATTCCGCGGATTGAAAATCTCACGCGTAGAAAATCTCATGGCTGTAGACAGTCTCCAAGTATTCGTGTATAAGATAAAAGTACCAACATGTAATCCTGGACATTCTTACTGTCTTGGTTTTTAAATATAAATATTTCAACATAATATATATATATATATATATATATATATATATATATATATATATATTGAGTATACAAGTATAAAAAAAAACTCGATTAATTCACGGGGAATCTCTTGTTCGTTGCAACGTCACATACAGTTTTGTCTATTTCCATCGGCTATCGGACAACTTTGATTATTTTAGCTCCAAGGTATTGATATGCGCAAAATAATCTCGCTGATCGTGGTTAATGAAATTTTCTTTCTTCTATTTATATGTCATGGTTAGGGCCGTGATCCAGAAAAGGACGACCATTTATAGGTAGTTGATCAAGACTGCGGTACTGCCGCTGAGAACGTTAAGATAGCCGAGATGTGTGGCTTTAAAAGTTTAAAGGTGAATACATGAATGATGCATTGATTTGAGCAATTTTTAACAGTGAAACGAGCAATGATAAAAATTATGCTCATTGTTGTTTACGCGTAATACGTTTCATAGAAATCTGCCCTATTTTTCTCTTATACACATAATTCGTATCGTACGTAAACAAAAATGTAAACGTACGTAACCAAAAATATAAACATGTATGTAAACATTTTTCCTTCAATATCCGACTGATATCGAACTACTATCTGAGTTCTGCACTTGTAAGATTTCCGATAAAATCAATTATATTTTTTTGTTTACCGTTTTTGGGATACAGGAAGTTCAACGTGGATATATATGTATGTATGTATATAGCATCGAGATTGCTGATGATGTTTTTATCGATTGTTCTTATCGCGGTTGGTCTCGTCCAAAAGTCAGATGAGTCAAGCGAACAGCGAGATTGTCAAGTGAATGTCAATGCCAATGACGCTCGATGGCCAGATAATTCGTCATCAATGGGCGTCCTCTTAACTTTTGGACAATAGTCGAGCAGGAACGATAACGCGATCGTGAGCGAAAACCGCTCAATTTCCGAGTAAAAATCTCAGTTATCGACACGTGAAAATAATTCTCTGTCTTTATCTCGAAAATAACGTTAAAGAGATATCATTCATTACTCACAATTATCGCGCTACCTTGAGAAGAATTCTGAGAACAAACTTTTTACCGGAAAATATTTTGCTTTCTCTCCGTTTTTTTTTCTTCGAAGTTGCGATATCGACCTGCCTGTTGGGTCGAATGTTATAAATTGATTAAAGCAAAAAAATGTATTCCGTTCCATAAATTTCGTCGGAAAAGATGTTTTTAAAATGCCGCGCGGCGCGTTGAGAGCATTAAATTTTCGCGTCAAGCGCCTTTCAAACATTTTTATCGCCCGGTCTTCATAATTCTCGGGCCCCACTACGATGGCTTAAATTCCCGTCTCGTGCGACCGGAGCACAGGGCGTTTTTTTAACCGGCGGCTTGTTCCGGGTGTAGCCGTATCTGGTCCCGACTCGCATTAACCGCTGGTGCGTGGTACGTCGTCGGCTGCGTCATGCTCACCCAGTTCGCGCACCGAAACTCGACGCCAGGAAGAACGCCAGCTCCGTTTTCGCACATTCGTTCGCGTAATTAGCATTTTCGAAACGTCGCCGCCGTAATTAGTTGCGTGCACTTCTCTAGCGGTGCGCACCGTCGCGAATTGGTTAACCCGGAAGAGTGTAGTGCAGAGGACAAGAGTTGCTTTAAAATCGCGCGACAAAAATGAAAGCTAAAAAAGTATCGATCGGTTCTAACGATAGACATCGATGCACCTTAATTATTGTACTTTGAATGAATCTCGCGCCGCCGCGCGCACGACATTCACGTCGTTAGTTTCCGCGCAACAAGTGAGTCGGACGTTTTCTCTTTTCTTTTCTCTTTCTTTCTCGTCGCCCGCTCGTCGTTTCGCTACGGATGCATAAAAAAAAAAGAACGTTTGGTTTGCAGCCCCGACAACGAGGATGACGACCGAACGCGGCATCTACTCCTCCTCTTGAATTCCGGCGCAACGTCGATGAGGCCTCTGCGAGGAGAATCGTCCGCCACCACAAGCACATTCGCTACATCGTATCCGCTCTCGAGAGACGCCGTTTCCCTCGAGGGAGAATTTTCCCGGTGGCGAGAATCGCACGTTTTAAGCCACCGCGCGATCGCGCGATCGCGCTACGAGAAAGTGGCATGACTCCGACGAGGTTCCGATGAGTCTTGTAGACGAACGTACGCGATGACTTCCTCGCGCGTAGTCAGAGCGCAACATCGACAGTGAGTGAGACTCTTATCGTCTCGGGATCGTTTGCGGACACGGTGGGCAGAACCGGGGACTCGCGCGGCGGAATTCCAAGTGCGGTGTCCGGGCCTCAGTGAGATGGCCTTCATGATGAAGAAGAAGAAGTATAAATTCTCGGTGGAGGTCGACCTCGAGGAGCTCACGGCGGTACCCTTCGTCAGTGCTGTGCTGTTCGCTAAGCTCAGACTCCTGGATGGCGGTTCTTTCGTCGATCATTCCACCAGGTGAGTGTCCCAATTGTGGCGTAGCCACCGTCGGAATCGTGTAGCCGAAATCGTTAATTCGGATCGTGCGAATCATTTTCTACGTTCGTTTTGCCATCCCGCGAATTATCCGATACCAGTTGACCTACCTGCATCGCGTGACTATCCACGCCATCGTTGTTTCGATACCACTTTCGCCTCGTACGAATGTGCGTAAGGATTTCTCGGTAAAATGCGCTCGCTCTCGCAACAGAACTCGCTCTCTTCCTCCATTAATAACGGCCGCGCGAGTGCTTCACGAGTGAAGCTCCCGGTCAACTTGACCGCGATCCAATCTATTCGAAATCGATGGAATGTATATATTGCAATATCACGCTCGCGCATGCAATTCTACGTTCTACACTGAGAGAAAAAATATCTAAAAAGTAATCTATATATCTTTCTTTGGGGGGTACTTATAATTATTACAATTTATTCAAATCTTCTTCTACTTAAGACACCTCCTCGCCGCGGAACTCTCGATTGATGACGTCAGAGGCGAGAAAATGGAAGTTAACCGCAACTTTTTGCCTGCATTTCTTCATCACTCTGTTAATTTCACAATTATTTATCGATCGTTGAAGCAAAAGGAAAGCGTTCGGAGTTGTTGCACACACCTGCTCGATCAATTGTTATTTTATGGATACATTTTTTCTTTCTACTTTGCAAAAATGCTGTATTTTCTTGTTTTTGTGACATCATGAATCAAGACGGCGAGAAGCCGAGAGTCTTAAAACGTTCGGCATGTGTTCCTCTACCTGTTGGTGGAATTCGACGTCGAGTGATAAGTCGAGTCCGTACTAAACGGTAACGGCCATTGTCCCACGGTGGGAACACTAACACCCGCGATATTTGCATGTCGTTTATTAACGCGCATCGTGTTTTCCTTTACAAGTGGAATAATGTTTCTGTCCATGTGCAAATGCATGCGACACAAATTCCACTGTCATTTGTAAGCGTTTCTGCCCAACGACGCATTTCACTGTGTGCTGTTGGATAATGCGGCGAAACGTTAAGTATAATTCTTTTCTCCGAAACAAAATTCCTACGTGTTCCTCACGCGCATCCTCTTCTCTCATTTGACGACTTTTACTCGACTCTCTCGCCAGAATATATATTTGTAACATTTCATCTTGATCTTGTTCTTAGCGTTACGATCTCTTCGAATACTGTCTCGTTTCTTCGCCGAGCGGCGGCTTTTCGTTCGTTGTGTCGAATAGCAAAGTCGATAAAGTCAGTCGCGCAAAAATGATCCGAGTCTATGACGTCCGCATGAAACCGCTTTTTAAAACCGCTGCCTTTTATTCCGGATATCGGCGTGCATCACGACGCGCGCGATGTCCTCGTCAGAATACGAGGACGGCATTGCACCTGCATCGAAATAGAGCGTTCGTGACTGAGCGTTCGTATTGCGCGTTACAGTATCGACTTTTTGTCGAAAAAGAATCCCACCGCGTGATAATAACGTCGGGTTTGTTTATTTGCGCTAAGCCGAAATTTTCTTTTCGCCGTTTTCTACTTTTATCTCGAAATTTTCCATATTTGCTCGATTCGTGCGAGCCACCAACTCCACGAGTCCGGAAAGTTTTTCCGTCGTTTGTCAATGCAAAAAAATGATATCGCGCGGTGCAGAATTAATTGCCGTCTTTGACGATCAATCAAACGAATGCTTATTCGATCGATCGCATAAATCTAACCCACTTGCGCATTTAATGGCCATAACAGTTATGCAGGTCGGCCGAATTGGACGGTTTACGCGTCGTTAATTTCCGCGTTGATATTTCCCCGATACGCTCGGCAAACTTCCGGACGATTTCTCCCATCGGGTGCTCGCGCAATCCCAAAGTTTTTCGACGACGGTCCTCGCCATGATGTCCTTCAGATTAGAAAGAATACTGGCTTTAAAGCATTCGTTGTTTCTCAACTTATTCTTGGATTCCTACCGAATTCACAGCTTCCTACCGAATTGTTACATATTAATTGGGCTGCTCCTATTATAATATGTCCTTATTGCGTGCGATTACCGGCCAATTACTCGGTTCGTTTGTTGGCTCAAACCTTAAAATTATATTTTTCACGATCAGTCTTTTGAAAGTAGCTTTCAAGTAATCGCAAATAATGTATGGCTTTATTAATATCCCAGAGTCTCGAATAGATAACAGCGTGTATCCAAAATTGCTAAATTTCACAGTCAGCAATCTTTAACTCTCATATTTATCTTATCCTTTTTATCCATGAAATGCTGATACGTTGTACATAAAATAGTTGGCGAAGCAAGGTCACACGTGTCGAGGCTTCCGATCGTTTTATTTACCGATTCGTTATATGTCTATCGATTAACTATAATGACTCGCGACCATTTGATAGGATAACTACTGAGCCTCCGCTGAATGTTTTTTTCTCGAGGAAAAAAAATTTGTAATCAATGCATCCGCGTGGGTAATTTGTAGACCTGTCTCTTGGACGATATGCATATCGAATTGAAAGTGCGCGGTAACGTGACAGCGCGACAATGAGAAAATTTTATTGATCGCATAAAACGATTGCATATTTTGCAGAAATCCTGGACTGTCGTGGAAAATAATTTGATTGGATCAGTCAAGCCCGTATTACGACGTAACCGCCCGTTAGATCTTAGACGGTAGCGCACTAATTGAATTATTAAACATCACTGCGCTCACAGAGCACTTTAGTTGCTAATTAATTACATATGGTACGTGTTCTTAGTCGTAACAAAGAATCGCATAGTACGATAGCGTATCGCGTTGACCCACATTTTCGCCGCATGTTTAACGCGCCAAGTACGGTTGCCCGATCATGAGCTTTACTTTATCGAGGTGCCTTGAAAAGAGAGAGTGAGAGAGAGAGAGAGAGAGAGAGAGAGAGAGAGACGGAGCTATCGACACTCCGTTCGACTTAAAAAATTATCTCCAAATTCATTTTGCTTCGATAATTTGGGAACTATATTTTTAATTACATCAGAATCAGGAGTACGCTAAAATCTTAACGAAATAAGCTGCAAAAATGCAAATAGACGGTAAAATCTCATTGCTTCGCGAACACATTCCGAGGGAGTACTTTGGCTAATGGAAGTTTAATTTACCCCTTAATTATCGAAATATTTAACTTTGATAATTAAAAAGTTTCATAGTAGAAGGCAGCGCGAAATCGGACTTTTGTTAATGGAAATATTATCCCTGAATTTCTTAAGACACTGATAAAAGAAACGGCAGTAATCTTCAAATTCAATTAGGCGTAATTAGCATGAAATATATATATATATATATATATATATATATATATATATATATATATATATATCTGAGAACAAATGATACATTTTTAAACGAGCAGCAACATTTGCGGGAATAAAAGCAACGATTAGCTGCCATCTGAAATTGAAACGCCAAGTGACGAGAGAAATGGGGACAAAGGTGGAATCATGCGATGAAACTCGGTATTGTATTTAAGATAGTGGCGACGTTTACGCAACAAGGCTCGTGTTAACGCGGAACCGGTAATTCATCGCAGGCTTTGTCATGTGACTGCTCGCACCAAAAGGCTAAATTCATCCGAAAACTCACCCGGCGAGAGCTAATTCCTCCTGACTTTTTTCGACTCGCGAAAACATCGTGCGAGCTTGCGTGAGCTTCGCACTGAAATGATGATTCACTGCGAAAAAATGTATTCGTGTTGTGCTGAATTTTCGCAGTAGCTTGCTCTAGTTATTTATGAACTTGGCGTAACAATAAAGAGACAGAAGCCTTTATATTCTCAAGCATGTGTTTATCATGGATAGTATAAATGTAAAAAAAATTCGTTGTCTTTTCCATTGCTTTCCGATGTGTTGAAAGCGATAGACTAACTGACGCAGAATGACGTACAACTAACGATAAAAAATACTCGTTCACCTACGTGCTGCAGTCGACAGTCCGTTTGAAATTGCACTTACCTTCGCAGATAGATGTCATTCAATTATATACACGGGTCTGACTCAGCCGGCGGATTCATAATCGGATCGAGATAAGCGTTTCATGTTGGCATCTACCTTGTCGGTCGTCCTCGACTTGAGTTGCGCCACTTTGAACCATGACCTTCCGCGAAATCGTCTTTTAAGCTCGCCACGTGGCCAATCCCGGTTGACGAGAATCCCACGCGATGATGCGACGAATTCTCGAATTTACGGTCGACAAGAAATTGTCAACGGAACACGTGAAAAGAACACGAGCGAGCAAACCGTTTGGCGCGCTAATGAAAATTCTTTCGATATTCGCGTGTCAGATGTAAGAGAACGTTCCCTCTTCCTCGAGGTAGACCTGCGCACGACAAAAGCTCGCAGAAACGTTTCGCAGGAAACGAACGATAAGGGATTTCGCGCGACTATCCCACCGAAATGTAAAGAGGGACAGACTTTTACGATCGTCCCCGGCGGGGAATCCGGTTCCCATGGAGTATTTACTTAGAAAGCCGCGAGGAGATTTACGGCGGACAGAGACGGGCGGAGGGAGAAAATTAGAAGGAGGATAGCGAGCGACGATAATGGACAATGTCCTGTCGTGTCCCTGCGTGGAAGTGACCGGCCGCGCTCGAGGACCTGACACCACTTCATAACGCGATGATGAGGAAACGCCCGATTACAACGCTGCTCCGGCCCGCGAAGCATTATACGTTAATATTTCTGCGTGTACCAGCGCGAATGATTATGTTGATGCTCGTGCGGGACGTTCGTATTTACGATCCGAAGGGTCGGATCATATCGTTCTTGTCTGATACCTTGTCCTTGTGCTCGCTGGCACACCTATGCTCGCGTCAGCACCTGTGCGACAGTTTCGTCCGTTTTGTCAGATAAGCACACTTGCGAGATAATCACATTTCATATTTTTTATGTCGGCTCTCTCACCGCATTATTCTGCAACTTGCTTACACGCAGCGTAGCAAACGTTTTATGAGAAAAATTTTAAGAGTTTATTAGCTCGCGCAAA